ATTGTACTTCTGTTATCAAAAGAGTTGAAGGTTAACCACTGACTCTTTTTCATTCAAAGGTTAGAATCAAGGATTCTACCTGTTATGGTTTCCCCGGATCATAACAAGACAAAAAAACCTTGAACCCATTCATTTCATTCACGTTATGTCTCATATTAATCAAGTGGTTTTACCTAACTCCGAAGACTATTTTGGCCTCAGAGATGAGAATTCTCGGGAATATGTTGAATAAAACACGTAGATGGTCGCCTTTCAGTCCTTAAAATATACATACTTTTACACATACATGTGTATGGGTATTATTTGGGCAAAACCAGTATATCAAGGTATAAGGTTCTAACTTACTTCAATGAAAAATGTTGATTCAAATAAACATTACAACCACTTGTGTTCTTTCGAATCATATAAAGGCATAATTATTAACTGATTATTTAAGATTACTTTAAAAAGTATCCTAAAGATTGAAATGATATGGAAACTAATGTACGTTAGAAGTATTTAAGTGATGCTTTGTTCTCTAAGTTGAATGATTTATTACTAAAGCTTTGACAGCTTTTCCAGACAACAGTAATATATATTACTTTTGAAAGTATATACTGCTAAAGATTAAAATTCAGATAATCAGTATAAATAAATCAGATTATAAAATTGAAAATGCTTTCATCTTTATAATCAATTAATAACATGAAATATTGATTTGACACTTCAGTTCCTGATTTGTATGATAATGATATTCTTGTACATGAATTATTATCGGAAAAACAAACTTGATCATGTATTCATACAATAACGATGTAAATGATGCTTTTTTTCTGTTACATAATGTAGTGCTACCCAAAGAACTGATTGGAATTATTATCTGAGAATGTTTTGTAAGTTAAAATTAATTTGAAGACAATAACTAACCTGATTTTTTTTTAAAAAAATAGTTACTACGTTACAAATTTAAAAAAGTAGAATTTGCGGACGATTGAAAACATTAAATGAATGCTGACAAATTCAAGACAAATATCACATTGTTATTTGAAATGTCCATCTCATTAAAATGAATGTACATGTATGTGTATGTATGGAACATCCGTGTAATCCGTTTGTACGTTAGAAACAAATGGAAATTTTATGCATATTTTCAAAAATACTTCGGATTAGAGAAAAGTGAAAATCACATCTGCTTGTTATCGATATGTATATAGTTCTGATAATCTTCGTCTTCTTATTACACTATCAAAATTTATCAAAGGAACAAACTACTTTAAATATATAAAGGTATTTTCAGATCTAAATGAAAAAAATATACTACTTATCCACAGTGATTTTTCATCACAGTCGACGTTATTTTTGTTAACAGTATTGTGGTGTGTGTTACTGATGTCGACGGATATAAGCAGTATGTATCACCAGTCAAAAGTGGAATGCTTGGAGGTAGAACGTTGAGAAAATCAAAGAAAAAAGAAAGAGAACAGAGAGAGATTGGTATGGTGATGAAAGAACGATAAAATCTGAGACGAATGGACATTTTGTAAATAGAGTATTCACTGTGTAGTTTCCAAATTTTATCAAGAAATTCTGTAATGTATTGAAATACGTTTGGTTGTTCCCACTGGTGTTCTCGTTCACCACAGTATTATAATTCTACATGCGAGAGGGGTTATTGGCTTATCATTACTAAGTTTTCTGTTGTTTTGTATTATTGTTATTACTATGTTAATTATCCGAGCTTAATAAACAAATTATGTCTTTATATTTTATGTAGGGAATTCTCTATTGCTTATAAGTCTAGGTCATAGGGCTCATCTATAACCTTAAGTGAACTGATGCTGTCTGTGTGATACGAATTCATGTCATCACACTTCACATCCTTAGACGTTAACAGTGAGCCACTCGATCCCCGACACCTTACAGACGAGTTCTAAATAGCACAGGATATAGGTTCAGGGTTTTCTATTGACTTCCTCCAACTAATTAACATCTTAACATTAGTGAATGTAATATCGTTTCATTTCACAATTGATTGATCACTGGGTGGTGATCAATGTCATGCTTGTCTAGTCCTTATTAGTGCAGATCGAATGCTATCGATCATTTTGCAATGTGGCCACCAGTCTAGGTGACTCGACACTGCGGGCATTATATATTGAGATTTAGATGGTGGTTGGAGGTAGTCAACAGGAAACCCTGGACCCGGATTTCGTGCTACTTGGCACTCGTCAGCAAGGTGTACCTGTAATCTTGAGGGAACTGGTGCTCCCTGGCGGATTCGGTCTCGTGTCACCCAGCTTACAGGTACACCTTGCTGACGAGTGCCAAGTAGCACGAAATCCGGGTCCAGGGTTTCCTGTTGACTACCTCCAACCACCATCTAAATCTCAATATATAATGCCCGCAGTGTCGAGTCACCTAGACTGGTGGCCACATTGCAAAATGATCGATAGCATTCGATCTGCACTAATAAGGACTAGACAAGCATGATATTGATCATCACCTGGTGATCAATCAATTGTGATTACATCTCAGTCCTACAGGAGGTCAGTCGCGGCTCGGATATCTCAGTGGTAACGTCTCTGACTGTGAAGCTGGGTGACACGAGATCGAATCCGCCAGGGAGCACCAGTTCCCTCAAGATTACAGGTACACCTTGCTGACGAGTGCCAAGTAGCACGAAACCCGGATCCAGGGTTTCCTGTTGACTACCTCCAACCACCATCTAAATCGTTTCATTTAGAATAATGTTGTTACGACTTGATCGATAGGAACCGGTTAGCACTAAAAGATTTGACAAAGATGACATTGCTCACTAATAATTGGTAAACCAATTTTAAATTATGAATTTATTCACCCTTACTCAACTTGACAGATGCATTTACATACTCTAGAAAACTAGCTAACAGTATGGTTTAATTTAAACGTTTTACCATCTAGGTCATTTAGTCTGTAACTAGGTTAAATGAGTTTGGGTCATTCATGATATATTCTTAATTGTTTCTACTAGTCAAGTATATGTTCTAATCACGTAATCATATCGGATTATAAAAGTAATAAAAGACAAAAATATACAGCGCTGTTATTTTAGAGCTACTTTTCACAACAGCTGATACAACAGTCTCATCTTGGTTTTCAAGTTCACAAAAATCCATACTCATATCCACTCACAAGAGGATATCAGATCCTTTAGATACTGTGTGAAAAACAAGATACCTTCATGCCACTAACACATCACCAGTCAGGTACAAACAAGTAGATTGTGAAATATGTCTCATAGATGATCTCGAAGCCAAATTACAATGTGACTGACGTTGAAAATGTCATCTATTTAGTTCCAATTTAGTAAATTAATTGTATTGTGTATGCTTTCATTTAAAGACTATATGGATATACTTCATGAAATTCAGTTATGATTGTTCTGTTTTAAGATTGATAAGTTTCTTCCATAGAAGTTTTATGGGATATTGATTAACTTTGTTTCCGGTTACTAGAACTTAAAAGCCTAACAACTTATTTGAAACTTAACATTTCATATGTACAGAACCATTTTCTATGCCACATTTTGATGTTGCTACGTGGTTGGAACAACCTTATTGAACAATCTGTTCTGTTGTTGAACCAATCTTGAATGACTATTAGTCAGAATATTTGACTATTAAGATGAAACTATGAAACACTGATTTCAAATAATAATTAGCATGAATTTAGACCAACCATTTCAGTCGCGCCTTCAGGTTTAGTTAGAAACGTAATGACGCTGGTTAGCTTCGTTAACCTTGTGATTCATAAAGTGAGAATTAAAGCAATACAGTTTTAGAGTTTGTCATGTTCAGATCTATATTTGAAAGATTTAATAGATATTCCTTGATAAATTAGAGAACAGAATAAGCTAAAAACTCAAGAGAACTTCATATGAAATCTATCACGAGAATTTTTAACCAGTTCATTCGAATAACGATACCATGAGTAGTATTTTGAGAAAAATTCTGTCTAATGAATCATAACTGATCACTTTAACGAAAATCCTTTTTTTAATTTATGTTAGAAAACGTAATACTGACTTCCAAAGCAAAAAGTAAATACTTTAAGAAAAACCCATTTTCGTGTTTGGTGACTTTAGAGACTAGAGCTTTCATCAGTTTCATCAAACACCTTAGTTGGCTAAAAGAACAACCGAAATGATTTTCATCATTCAAGAGGAAACATATTTACAAGATTAATCAATATGATCTATTACGGTCCTGAAAAAGCTATCATCAGCTTCAGCAATAAATCAGTTCTTGTTACAGATGAGGAACAGTTGAAGTAGACCAGTAATAATGCCTGGATCATGATTAGGATATTCGGATCTCATAGTAATCATATTATCTACCTTCAAACTCAACAATCACCTCTAAAAAACCACAAAACGTAACGATAATCATGTGTTCGCTAGTTGACTAACTTCAGAATTGAGTCCCAGAAAGTTCTAGTTCAGTCTACCGTTAACTACAAGTCTTATTGAAATGTTCATTATTTATTTGACAAGGAACATTTGTCATTAAAGACTTTGAAATATTTAATTTATAAATGTATCATAATTCAAAATAAATAAAAATTTAACAGTGTGTAGATTCCCAAAAATTCATAATATTTTAATAACTGGTCAAACCAATTCGAAAAAAATATCATTAAGATCAGTATGGGGGTCTGCGGAGATTGTAATGATTCCAATAGTTGAATTTATGAGTCGATGTACGCTAGATCATCATTAAAAACTTGAAAGCACAAGATGTCTGTTTCAGTCTAGTATGGGACTCTTCAGAAGTGCGCATCTACGGTTCTGCATACGGGACTCGAAACCAGGACCTTTGGTCTTGCGTGCGAATGCTTAACCTCATGAATTTAACCAATGAAATATCATTAAATTTAAATTACGCAACAATATAACATCAGGCTGTTGATTAATTTGTAAAACAACTTGACAATGGTAAACAAATGTCGTTAATTAATTACTTTTCAATTATTTTTCTTTTTTTCATTAATTATTTCAAGAGATGATCGTAACAAAAGTGTCATCTATCAGCTTTAATAAAGCTGATATATATTTATATATTAAAATGTGATGCTGAAAAGAAATTCTACCGTAGTGCCATGTTTGAAGCGATTACGAGTTCAGTTAGTCTGCGAACGGAACAAAGGCTTGTGACCAGTAAACTAGCCATTCTATTGCGTCCTAGGCCCGCTAACTAGAAAGAGATGTCGAAGTTCGAACAGGGAAGTATATTCCGCAAAAAGCCAGAAACACGAGCGATAAGAACAGACACAAATCAAACGTATATATACAGCATAAAACTGTCATTGGAAAGCGATACAAATTAGCATACTGAAATACACAACGAACCGATAACGTTAAAGATTCTCCCAAGTGGGAAATACGACATGAAGGTGAAAAGGGCGTTTTTGGCGCAAAAACAAGGAAATTCAAATTTTCAAAATAAAATTGCAAAATTAAGGCATTTACCAAATGAGTTCTGGGGATCTTAAATCCCTAACACATAGTCAAATATTTGAAAAAACAAACAAAATAAGTCATTAAATTAGAGCTGAAAATTATTTACAAATTTTGATGTGTCAATTAAATGAAAGTGAAAAAAAATAAGATGAGCATGTAGTGGTCAGTATTCAATATAGTCCTTAAACTTAGTGTACAGTTCATCCTGATAACCCTCACTAGATAACGATCCAATGGTGTATTAATCAGAAGGCGAACACGAAGTGCTGATTACGTTTATATTATTGTACTACGCACAGATCATCAAAATTACAGGTACGTTAAGCAAGCATGGAAAAGTAGTGCCGAAAAGCAAGAGGGCAAACGAGTGAACATTATTAAAATGTACATGCACATATACATAGTGAAATGAATGAACCATTGAATCAGTTAAGCGACAAATAGTAAGGCTAGCAGAATGAATATATACGTAAGCAGTAAGCAATGCTCAAGTATACATATTCATACAAGTGCAATAATAATAAAGGTATAATGGTATAGGTAAGTTGTTACTGTAGAAATGACTCTATCCGTTAAATAAGTTAACAAAACGGCTTAACCAAATTAAATGTGAACAAACCCAACTGCACGTGAGCTGCTATAAACGATTTGTTATGTGAAATAATCTTAAGCAATAAGATACACACATTTTATGCAATAAAAGAATTTAACAAAATTTAAACTGTTACTATAATCTAGTTATTAAATTAATAAAAGAAACTTGGTAAACGTTTAGTGTTTTATATCATGTGAAATCAATGAAAATGTTAACAATATTGATGAATGAGGTAAGATTCAGCTTTAACATTATGGATCGATGAAACTCACAATTTTGTAGAGATCTATTTCAAAAAGTTTTCAACATGAAGTTACAGTAATTGAAAAACTATTGAAAACTAGAAAGTGAAATAGAGCTGGAGATCATCATGCCTCTTGGTGGGTATAATTGTTTAGAATATACTAAGCTGGATAGAATCCAGTATTATAGATTTAGAATTTCAGTTAATTTGTGGTTTATAGCGATAATTATTTAATTTAGTCAGTATTATCTGTCTCAGACACAAATTGACTAGACTCCATCAGCCACAACTTCTCACTGAAATCTTGGTAGTTCATCTAGAAGTTGTGACTAGTGAGGCTCAACCAAGTTGGATGTGAGTTGTTTATCACCGAAGTAAGATGAAAAAAAGTATTCAATGCTACTTGATGATTAGTAGTACACTACTGGTATTCAGTTATGATGCAAACAATCTTTAAATAGAAACATTGTTTACAATGAAAGATTCATTTTAGTCACATTAACTGGAACTGAATGATCTCATTCTAATCGAATTGAAATCCTGTAGTAGATGTTCATTTTGGTTTACACTTATTATCATCAAATCCATTAATAGGATATACTTTGAATCTAAACACATTGATTAAGTGAATTTAAATATAATACACTGATAATTCAATCATACGTTACGATACGATATGTGAGAATCAAGAGCAATAGTTAAGTTTTATTTTCACTAAAGTGTGAATAACCTACGAAATTCGTACTAAATGTTCACTTATATATTGTGTTTATAGTAATACAAGTAAAATATTACGAATATTTTATTTTGTGGGCATTGAAAGAAGAAAATTAAATGTTTAAATAATGTTGTTGTCTGCTTCTGTTTTCATAATACAAAAATGGACAGAACAGATTATCACAAATTCTTCAGTCACATTTCCACGAAAAAATATTGAAAATAACACCTTAAAATGCACAGACCACATAATTATGGACCGTAGTGATCGATATCATATTATACTTCGAAACATCGATTTTCAGTCAGCATAATAGCACAGCCAATAATTAGTTTATATTTGTATGAAAGAACCAACCAATATGTTCGTGACTTAATTATGATCAGCACCTTCCTAGATTTCTCACAATGGTCTTACAGCAAAAACTATTTCCTATGTTACCTAGTATTTCATATGGAAGTATCTGATCAACACTTCCTCCATAGAATAAGCACAACAGCTATTTCTTTTATATTTATTAATTCAACTGAGACTGTAGAGCAAGTGGCATCAGCCGATGACCCAGGAAACTACATTTTCGTGTCTATAAACAGCTCCAAGTCCAGATAAGTAAATGAATAGTTAAGAATGCAAACAACTCGACCTTAGCACATTTAGTTCAAACAGACCAAAAATGTTGCATGGACAAGTTACTCCTAATAATCTCCTAAAGGCGATTAGGCTCAAAGTCCTTCAAATGGCATAATAGTCATAGAAAGTGAAAATACCGGAGTTATGTAGATGTATGTTCTGTCGCTTCTCTTACCTTGGTAAGTCTCAAAACACAATTATGAGATAATCGAGTTTGCAAACGTTTATGTCCTATCCTTGGTTAAATGGTCACTACACACACTCTCTACTTGAAATAGTAGCATGATCATTAAAAACGTAGTGATCTAGACAACAAACATTTATGATGTGGCGAAAAGGAGTTAAGTGTGGTAATCAAGTGTTGACTTTATTGACTAATCCATACCATACAGACCGTTAATCTACAAACATAGGAAATTCAAGTCACATGGATCGAACATGAAATTAGAACAATAACAGACTAACAATGCACAAGAAGTTGGGTACACACTCTATTCAGGACCAAAACCTACTGAAGGACTCGCGCTGCATGAAAAATAGGGGAAACACAAGTTTGTTCCGTTTCCAGTAAAATAGCTAACAAATTGATATTTCATCATCAATTCATCCCTAAAAATCAAGTCATCCTGCTATAAAAAAGACATTTTGGTAGTCCTTTCATATCAGTGTTACCAACATAGCGACACAACTAGTCTATTTCATCCTACACACATTGAAGGTAGACAAGTGAACGTCCACTACATTGGAAACATGGACTAGCGGTGAAATATAATGTATTACCACTTATACCAATCCACATACGTAAATATGAGCACAAATCAGGTTGGGTAAACGTAAAATTTATGAATTAAGGAAGTTCCGAGAATGAAAGACAGTTGTGAAAGTCGTAGTATCGGTTAAGCCCACATAGCTTACTCTAGCTTCCGGACAAGCCAGTCTATTCATTATTCTTGAGTCACATTTTGACCTTGTTAATTACAAGCTTATCAACCTTGACTGTTTTTATGAATGTACGTGTGAGCACGTCTTATCATATTCATCACATGTCTGTAACTTATTTTTGTTCGGCTATAAACATCGATTAATGCTTGATTAAATAGAGTTGGCATACGTGCCTTTCTCACTGCGCGTCATTTCATTTCGCTTAGCTCTCCTCTTCGTTCCTCCGATTGTCTGTCCAGATCAAAGTGTACAAAATACATGTATTCGAATTCCATTCTCATATTTATTTAATTTCGTTATTCACTAACGCGAATTAAGTCGATAATTCTATACGACGATTGACAATATGTATGTCTCAATATCAATCAGAAATGATCTCACTGGAGTCAGATCCCGGGCCACTAAAACCTCACCCTCGTATATAGGAGGATTGCGTATTAGTATTAGATACGGACACTGCAAGTCACAATATTTTCAACTAATTATTCCTGAAAAGCTTAACAAACAAAATGCCTTAACCACTTTTATACAAGACATTCAAGGTAATTTTAAATAATATCCACTAAAGCAGTAGCTCATCCTAATTGAAATAAACACAAGTTACTATCACAAACCACCGTTTCATTAAAGAAAAGACAAATGTATGAAAAGAGAAAAGAAATAAGCTCAGTAAATTGATACATAAGCGCTAATCAATCATCCAACTTAAGAATGCAAATGTTACAAGTAAAGTAATAATATTAAAAATAGTAATGATAAAAGTAGTAACATGTTGCAATATTAGTAATAGCAATAACAATGACGAGTCTAACAACAAGCGGTATCATATGCAATTAATAGTTGCATAACCAATTAAGACTATAAATAATAAATAGTATACGTATATATTATATTTGTACAAAATTTTATCACAGTAGAGATAAAGAAGAATGAGAAATGCAAGTTCATGACTAGTAAAATTAGTATTTTTACCTAATATATTCTAAATCATAGAATATCAGTAAGATAATATATAGTTATGGAAACTACGTACTTGGTAAGAATAGTGTGTAAAAGAGATGAAATGAAAAAGCACACAACGAATGTTATACATGTGTGCATACATACAAATGGAAATAATCCCTGGAAAGTATGAAAGTTTTTTGTTTTGTATATTGTATTGTTTGAACAAGTAATAGATAGAATTGAACTTTTAAAAGAAGATAAAACATTAATATTGCATGCATATATAAGAATAGTGTCTTTTTCTTAAATTAAAAAAAAACGAAGTCAATTTAGCGAAAAAGAGAGAACTAGATAGAAACAAATTACTGTAAATAAGTAAGTAAATAAACAAATAAGTTAATAATTATTCTAAGTAAATAGATAAGTAATATATATATATGCAATTCACTAGGGACGGTGCTTTTTATTGTGATACAACTTTCAAGAGAATAGGGCAATGCAAAAGAAAATTGAATTGACACAACAAGTAACATTCACAGTGATAGAGAGAAATTAGTTTATGGGGGTAGTGTAGATGTTAAGAGAAATATCATGCATTAATTTCACTCTTGGAATGATTATATTTATGTACATATGTCTAGATAGCTATCTACATACATATGAAGACTTACAATTATATGATCAAGTTAAAAGTAAATGAAAGTAGACAAACTAATAAATGCATCATTACAGGGATATTCTGACAATAGAACAGAACGCTGAAACTTAAGTAAAAAAAGGTTACTATTATTATTATTATTATATGGTGTATCAAGGAATAAAAGAATGTAAGTAATGAGATATGTTTTCCTTTTTTCGCATACAAAGTATACAAGCAAAAAAAAGATTTGATAAGATCATTTACTATGAATTTTGTGAACACAGAAACGATTGTGAAATATATATATAACTTCTTGATCTTCCATTACGACTAAAAACTCGGGAAATTTACGGCGTATGTGAAGTCATGAGTAGGCTATTAGGTGGTACTGTACAACAGTAAGCAGGTACAGATTTGGAGCGATGCATAACTTTAAGAGTAGATGTACATTTAAATTCGTTTTGCCAAGGTGACCAATGAATATCAGCTTTTTGTTCGACAGTTGGTCGGTGATCAGCACTAACAATAGACGATCTACAAGATGGTATAAATATACTATGATGAGGAGTTGATGAAGTAGGTTGAGGTGTATCTGTTCGATCATTTTGCACATTAGAAGATATAGGTGTATTTAATACACGACCATTAACCATATATAAACCCTGAGAATGCCGTTTGCGTAGACGGTGTTGGCGATAAAGCCGGTGACATTTTGCACAAATAATACATGGCACAGCAACCATGATAAATGGAGCAGCAACCAGTAATAAAATCGTTAATCCAGTAAATACACTGACAACCTGATTTTAGGTGTAAACAAAATACATAAATAAACAAGATGATAGTCTAACAATACGTGAAAGAAGACTAGTATAATTTACCGTTACTCACAACAAATCAATCGAAAAAATTACTAGCTTTACAAAAAGAATCAATCGTAATTGGATAAGTAATGAAATCAAGAAGAGGGATAAGTTGATGCCTGTACCCACCTTTTCATGTTATGTAATGTAACTTTGGAGTTAGACTCAAACTTATTGAAACCGCTAACTAGGATGACATATACTCAAATCAGATGTTTGTCTATATCAGATTTATGCAGTCATAACTTTAAAGACAATGAGTAGAAGACTTTGAACCTGAGTTTGACACTGGTTTGGAATTATCAGTAAAGGATATTTACAATAGTGTGAGAAATGATGTTTAACTAAGACATTTGAACATGTCACTAACTGGGTTATTTGAGCCGCTTACCGTCAGAAAAAGAAGCTTAGGCTAGTAGAATATTGCAACATAAAGGTGGAAGCCCTCACTAAAAAAAACACAAACTTATTACCATAAAATCATTCCGTCAAGCACATAAAACTGAAAATATTTTAAAAATCAAATTGTAACTATGCCTATAAGTCAAAGGTAAATATGAAAGATTTCACACAGCAGTAATAACCTATGAAATGAAACCTGACGTCAATTTGATAAATTAAAAAATACCGAAATGCTATCATTCTATACAATAGTTTAGTAGTAAAGTAGAATCGCTGTGAAAATATACAAACCTTGATCGTTATAAATGCTTTTCAGTGTTATTAAGTCATACGTTCAAACTCTGGCCATTCAATTCAACCTGAGAAACCGCATAGCACCATTAACCATTACATAAAATTTATACCTTAAAGACAAGTGTGTAAACATGTATATGTAATCCTACCTACAAAAGTTAGACAAGTTAGTCAGTCGCAAGCAATGTAAGACCTGGCACAAATATACATCACGTGAAGTTGCCACACCAAGTTAGTAAAACGAGATATCAACAAAGACATATCAAAGAAGTCAAAATAATAGCGCCATTTTTGTTAATTTGTAAAGAAATAAAATCAAGAAATAGAAAAGAGATTAACTAGTATTACTACTCACGATTTATGAGAAGATGAAGAAAAAATTTATGTTAATGTGGTCGACTTTGAGCCATATCGCCTGACGTCACCAAATCACTAATCATGACTATCACGTGAATCATGATATGTAAGTGTGTACCTCGTTAAAAGGCTTAAACTAATACACTAGTATACTACTTAATCTGTTATAATCTCTTTCTTATGGTATGACCCAGCTATTCCTATTGCTTAGTATTCTTGGACATCAAATCACTCGACAAGTCCCCAAATCAGAACACGGTTGAACAGGAAAGAGATTATATTCCAAATAACAAGGTCAGATGGAAGCAAGAAGCAAGTAAGAAGTGCAATAGGGAAAACGCTAGTATAGTTATAGCTTTTCACATGAGATTTATAGCGTTCACTAAGTATCGGCTAACGCTGATTGGCTAATTCTTACCCAATCAGTGTGCACCAAAGCAATCGTGCATTGAGCATGCTTTAATCCAGTCTATGTCCCGCTAACATAATCATTCTAACCAAAATAGATCATATGTCTAAGATTGAAAACACTGACTGAAAGTTGAATACACAAAGATTACACGCAGGTCTAGGTGGAATAGTTCTTGATCCATAATTGAATGATTAAGTATTTTCCTCACTAATTGACAAGTTTAAAAGCATGTACAAGCAAGGTAGTATTGGATATTTATCAACTTCTGATGAAAAATAAAATTGTTATTTATGATGGACAATCGCATAGTCAAATAGGCATTTATCTCAATATTTTATTAATTGAAAGATTTGATGTGATAATGATTTTTAATTGAAATCATCAAGTTTTTACCAAACCTTTATAAATAGAAATTTTTATTTAAAAAAAACGAACACTCAGAAGTGATAAATATAACTTGATAAGTGAACGACGGGACTGAGGTTACCAGCGGTACCCAAGCATTCTCGGCCATTTTTCCGTTTATTTAGTGGTCAAACTCTGTAAACAAGAGTGTGATTTTCACTGAAGATTTGATTTTAGGCTTTAACTCTCACCTCATCCTGCACATTGAAATGTGGTAAACTGATATGTTCACCGTAAACAGATGTGGATAAACTCAGACGCTTAAGATGAAATCTCCAATGAAGACTACACTCTTAAATGTATCACTTACCCACTGGATGAATGGAAAAATACCTGAAAATGTTAGATATTGAACACTTACTGAATGTTGAAAAACAGATGGATAATATGAACCAATGAAAGTGATGATTTACAACGATTACATAAAATTCAACTTTTTTTCTACGAAATTTCTAAATCTTGCCAAACGAAATGAGATCAAAAATTGTTAATTAAAGTGTTTGATTTAATGAAAGCATACTTAATCAATGCATAGCAAAACCGCAACAGATAACAGTATTTCCAATTAAGGAAATTGTGAAGAATATAACCAACTTTTTTTTACACTAAAATAACTTACATAAACTCGATGACCAATTACTGATGCACGAGAATGACCAAGTTTTCCTTTACAGGCCCCGTCATCATAATGTTGAAGAAGGAAATCATCCTGGAAAATAAAGTATAAGTGAAAAAAACTTCCGATAAATTACACTGACAAAGCAATAATTGATAAATATGACAAATAATTTCCATTAGAACATTAAGAAACATGAAGTTCAGTGAAGGGATTACTAAGTTAACAAAGGATTATAATGTGTATGGAGTAAGACAATTAAAATGTAAATTAAGGGAATATCGAAGAAATCTACACAGAATGAACATATACCAATAAGAGACTGATCAATTGAAGTCCATAGCATCAATGGGAAGATTCAAACAAACAATGCAAAAATGAATTATTAATATATACGATTGTACAGCTTGATAATAAATTCGTTGAAAAGAGCCCCCCTTCTCTGAACTTCATGTTTTTTAAATATGACAAAATCGTATAAAATCCATGATCTATGAAATATTGTCATTCAAATAAAATAAATGAAAGTTACCGTGAAAAATTTTAAAATACTATAAAAAGATACTATTTGAATTTTATTTTTATAAAGAACTTATATTCCTTAATAGTACTTATGAGCACTGATAATATAATTTCTAGTCTAAATTCCAATTGTCTTGTGTAAATGAACTTTTGTTATTTTACCGATATGTTTAAAGAATCATACTAATGCAACTATTTATTGACGGGATTTCTATCATGATTTGAGGTCACATGGAAAATTATTTACTTTATTTAGTTACTACTGCCAAAATAAAATTGTTTAGAAAATAAAAAACCGGGATTTAAATCTTCAATCACTCTCACTGTATTTCTACTCATAAATGTTAAGTTATGGGATAACTTGTTTATTTCTATGACATAGGTGATCGTTTATTTTGTAAGCTTACAGTTTTAAATGAATTTCATCTATACATAAATGAAAAGCAATTTCATGTTTTACAAAATAATGTAGAAAAATTTAAGGCAGTTTGAACAATAATAACACCACCAATGGCTCTTCTAGAGATACTGCCGGATCCAAGTATGGGTAAAGGAGAAGAGTTGGACTTCGGGACGGCAACCCCAACACATAGAAAAAATTCCTGTTAAAAAAAGCTAACCACATTAGACAAATTAAACCATTTAGCCTCTATCCTCTGAGTTGAAAGAAGAATTATGACGCCACATGATGAAAGCCGAGATTCTTGAGAAGTCACGAGGCCAATAACCCTTTTAACAACCAGAATAACGACTAATATAGGTACATAAAATATCCGAACAATGTAGGAAACCAGACTTTACTTAATTTCGCCTGTTAATCCTAATGGAGCATAGGTCACCGACCAGCATTCTCCAACACACTCTGCTCTGGGCCTTTCCTTCTAGTTCTATCCAATTTTTGTTCATTCTTTTCATATCTGTCTTCATTTCTCAACGTAATATAATCTTTTGTCTCTCACTTCTCCTTTAGCCTTAAGGATTCCAAGTGAGGGCTTGTCTTGTGACGCAGTTGGGCATTTTCCTCAGTGTGTGTCCTACCCACTTCCAAAGCTTCTTCCTGATTTCTTCCTCCGCTGGAATCTGGTTTGTTCCCTCCCATAGTAAATTGTTGCTGATGATGTATGGCCAACGAATCTGAGGTATTTTTTATAGACAACTGTTGATAAACACCTGTATCTTCTGGATGATGGCTTTCGTAGTTCTCCAGGTTTCCGCCCCAGTAGATAGTAGAACTGTCTTGACATTTGTATTAAAAATCCTGACCTTGGTGTTGGTTGACGGTTGCTTTGAGTTCCAGATTTTCTTCAATTGTGAATGTGCTGCTCTTGCTTTTCCAATTCACGGCTTCACATCTGCATCAGATCCACTGTGTTCATCAATGATGCCGCCCAGATATGTAAATGTTTTTACATCTCCCAAAGCTTTTCCGTCAAGTGCGATTCGATTGGTACATGCTGTATTGTGTCGGAAAATCTTGCTTTTCCCTTTGTGTATGTTGAGACCTACTGCTGCTAAGGATGCTGCTACGCTGGTTGTTGCTTCCCCCCAGAAACCAAAAGGACAAATCAAATACATGTAGAAATGAAGAGATAGATTAGAGACAGATCATGCTGCCCTCTGGTCACTAACACGGAAATGCCCCAAACACTCACACAGTTGCTCTGATGCTATACAAAGAAGCACGTAAACCACTTATAGGATGGGAATCTCATGCATCCACAATCACCAAACCATTATTCAAAACAACGAATAAGACTATCACAACCAAAGTTATCAAGTGTTATGCACCCACCAATGATAGTAGTCAACATGATAAACATCAGTTCTATGGGAGCCTGCAATTAACCATAGTGAAGTGATCAGGAAACGACCTGAACATTCTCATGGCACACCTAAACTCCAAAGTCGGAATACACAACACCGGCTATCAAGATATCATCGGACGACATGAACTCACTAGGAGAAACGAACGAAAATGGTGACAGATTTGAAAATTTATGTGCATCCAACAAAATCGTTATAGACGATACAATATTCCCACACAAACGCACACACGAAGCTACACCGGTCTCACCACATCACACTACACAGAATCAGATCCATCATATTCGCATCACTAAAAAAATCCACAAGATGCACGAAGACGTGAGAACCAGGAGAGCAGCTCACATAATTCAAATCACCACCAACTGGTGGTTGCCAACATGGAACTGAAGCTAAAGAAGTACTCGACAAATGCAGAAACAGCATCACAAAAGTTCAATACACACTTCCTTCGACATACTGACAAACTCAACCAATTCAAGATAACTCTCAACAACAGCTCCCAAGTCCTACAACACATACTCAAACAAGAAAAAACTACTATGGAAAACAACTGGAAAGAAATACCAACACAATCATATTTGATGGAGAAACTCTGTAAGTGGTGGAAACTTTCATATATCTGAACAGCAGCATCATCGATGAACGAGGAGGATCTGATGCAGACGTACAGAAAAGCATTGACAAAGAAAGAACAGCATTCGTACACTTCAACAACATATCCAACTAAAAACAACTCTCTGTCAACCAATATCAAAGTCACAAGATCCAGTACGAACGTAAAAACAATTCTACTGGACAGAGATCAAATTTATAGAACTACTACAACCACCATCAAAATAGTACGAGTATTTATAATCAATTGTCTACTCAAAATACTCAATGTCCCTTGTTCACCAGATACCATCAGCAACCGCCTTCTGTGGCAGAGAACAAATCACCCTCCAGTTGAAGAGGAAATTAGGAAAAGACAATGGAAGTGGATAAGACATATATTGTGGAAATCAACAAACCGCATCACGAGGCATACACCATACACCAACTTGGAATCCTGAAGGGAAACGGAAAAGAGGGAGACTGAAGAACGCAATGCGTCAAGAACTGGAAGCAAACATGAAAAGGATTAATAGAAATTAGAAACAATTGGGAAGGATTGTCCAAGACAGAGTTGGATGGAGAATACTGATGGGCGGCCTATGATCCTCCATGAGGGTTAACAGGCGTAAGTAAGTGATATTGTGTTTCAGCCAAAATGCAACAATATCCTACGTAGAAGTAACTGTTACCATTATTATAATTCTAAACGGTCGACTATTCATAATTGGTATTTGTTTTTTCTAAACTCCGAAACTTTCATGAATGTGATTGGACTCATTCGTAACATTAACTTGATCGCTTCAATATTCAATCAGTACATTAGGTTCGTTGTAAGAGTTAATATTACCATGAACCAATCGTAATCATCAACACTTTTTACTTTAACTCCTAGGTTTAAATAACATTGATAATAAATTTCCAGTACTTGTCCTATATCTTTATTCACTGTGATAGATTCATGAGAAAATAAGCATACTTGTGCTAATTATTCAAAAACGTTTTCAAATCGAAACAGATATCCATGACACTAGTTATGAAAAGCAAGCACAGTTATTTCAAATTTAAACAATTAAAGCAGTACCAGGCCTACATATATGTAAGTGCAGACCGAACTCAGTCAAAAGTTAAATGACCAGCGTAACAATATTATTTTATGAAATGTACTTACATCCAATGAAGTCAAACAATACCAGCAAAAGGTATGTTTGCATGACCGGCACATCATTTGAGCGCAACCTTCGATACGTTCAATAGGGACTAGGCAGGCAGGACAACGTTTCAGCCAGTCATCAGGAGAATATGGAGGAAACCCAACAGCAAGAACGGAGACATCAATTGTATCACTGATATCCTGATTGTTAAGATGAATACTTGCATGACTCTGTAAATAATTACGCCGTTTTCTTTTGGATCGCCGGAGTGAGACTTTATTTATTTTGTTTTTCTCTGGAGGTTTTCTCAAGGATGGTAATGACTTGATGATTTCTGGATTTTGCGTCACAGACTGTGACTGGTGTTTCTGAAATATAATAGGATCTGGTTCTGAATGAGGATTAATATGATCCGAGGCATTTACATTTTCCTCCAAAATTCCAAGTAAATTTTGTTGACTAGTAAATTGAGTGCTTAAATTTTTATTTCCCTTGACAACGTTACGAGGATATTCTTCACACACATACGGTCCAACTCCGATGTGCCAGTTTAAATGGCATCGAGCACAAAATTCATGAGAACACTGTTTGCATACGACGCGTACAGCTGGGCGACCAGGACTCACTTGACACATCAACGTTCTTTTTTCAGAGATATGGAGTAAATCCTTCTCTCCAGCACCTTCACTGGTGGGTGTCTACAGAAAGAAAATGTTAACAGCTGTGAAATAAATGCAGAATTTTTCAAATTTTGAAATTACTGATTCTTTCCATCATGCAAACGGCTTTTACAACTTCGTAAATTGGTGTTAAATTATGGGAAATAACCAAACAAACAATAAACTTTAAAACTATGGTAAAAAAGAGGTTACTTGCCAACATTGAATACACAATACAACTAAATAACCATAGCATGAGACACATTTATCGTAAGGCATTACCATTATAATAAGTGAGATATGAGAACTTTCGCAGAGTGCAACTTAATCAAACATGATATCCAACTGAATACATAACCGACAATATTACGCGAAATACCACATCGCAGAAACTAAAAATTCAATGTCCTATAAATATATAGTTTAGTGATAGAATAACTAAACCCAACGTTTCACGTACCAAAACCAAAAAATTGCACAAAACAAACAGGAAACAGCACAATTAGTTCACTAAATCAAGTTGAATAACGAAATAATGCTTACCGTTACACAATCTTCTTTGTCTTCATCCCTGAGATTACTGATAGGCTTGTAATATGCGTTATTTGGAATTTTTGATGTGTCATCGGCATGAAAACTCGTACTTTTGGTGCTGGGAGAAACATGAGTGGTATCTCCTTGTGAACTGCAAAGATATCTTCTGTACCATCTAGTAAACCGTTCCAGAGCATGTTTATTACTTCTGGTAGATGGGTTTATTCCATTTCGCATGGGTACTTTTAAAATAGAAGGAACTTGGCACACAGCACCACAATTTACTGCTGGGCAAAATGTTAGATTTACATTCTGCTCGATTTCTGAATATTTATGTTACAGTTGGGAAAAATGGACAACAAACTGACCTCGCTGAAGCTTCTTTACAGAAAAACGTTCGTAAACGTCAGAAGGCAGCAATTCTCTTATCTAGAGTAATAGAAATTTGGATAACTGAAACACCCTACCTCTGAGTCTGTCAAATGACCACTTTGACTACATGGATAACTTGGACAAGCACAGTTAACATCAACTCGATCTCGTAATACTGTAATAACATACGTTTTCAAGCACTATGAAGTAAAAATACTTCGAGTTAACGCAAGCTTTGATATGAATATACTCTCGATTGATAAGTAAACAGTTATAATAATGGAAGCTTTGTAAAGCTCCCAAAACACTTAGATTTTACGACTTTTAAAAGTCGTTCAAATACACAGTTGAATAGTAAACTTCAATGTAGCAGAAATTGATGCTGCTATAAAACGATCTTAATCTACCGTTATAAAGGGTTTGTTTAATGAATGTCATCAGTATATAAATCGGTTATGTAAGGTCTAAAAGAATGATTTGCATAATCCACATTTTTTGCGAAGCCAGAGCAGCATATCCATTTTTCGTTCACTCTCCACTGAACGCTTGAACAGCGCTGTAAATATTATGGTAACGATAGATCTTTATATTAAGGCTTTCGACTTCCTAAAAAGGATTGTCTGTTGAACGAGGATGTCCAAAAAAATTGTTAACTTAGTGAAAGCTCATCACGAAAACTGTGAAAACATAACATGAGAAAATAACATTCTTTCCAACTATTTGAACCAGCAGCATTTTTTCACAGGATTGCTTAGTCTTACCATAATTCCACGATTAGGTGAGTGAAGCCCGAGGAATCATGGGATTCAGTGGTCTAAAACGCTATCTGATCTAGCTTAGAATAAATGTCAGTGGTTACTCTATTGAATTCCTCGTAAAAAGATGTTTCCTTTGAAGGGAAGTAATTAATCCCGGTTTTGCTATAACTTGAAGCATATTGTTCGGTGCGTACTACTCCTGTTATTTATTGATTGTATGACTATCTTTTTAATTAAAAGTGATGTAATTTCGTCTGGGTGGTACAGTTCCAAATGCCCTACTGCACCAAGACTTCTCGTTCGGTAACGGAAATGAGTAGTACGATATACAGTGATACCATAGATAAAAAATGGTACGATATGTAGACCAGATCATATGACAGAAAATCAAATCCGTACAATATATGCATACAGCTGCACAACCGGTTTACCGACAAATTGGTTTGAACATTCGAGTGAAGCATATTTCTTTTATCATATTTAATGAAAACACTGAGAAGTACTTGAGGCTAAAATCTATAGACTTCACAAGACGTAAACATCCAAATATCGTATTGTACAGCTGTCTAAAGCTAAGGGTATGCTAAAGCTTAATATATCCACCATATTCGAGTCAACCGAAAATCGGCTATTACTTAAGTCGAAACCTCGGTCATAGCATAACTTACACCTGTCCAATCGTCCCTTCAGGCGGAAGACAAATCCAATGCCCTGGTCACTAGCAATACATATCATGTTTTTACAACAATACACTAATCAAAATATTTATGTGAAACAAACACCTAATTTTCGCATGCTTCGAATCATAATTAAATTCTTTTTTGAACAGAAATCTGTAAGGACTAAAATATGTGCTAAATAGTAAAATCACTACGAAAAATAGGAAGGTGAAGAGAGATGGCAAAAAACTACCTAGGGATATGATCTAAACTTTACTGAGGTTTTTGTGTCAGTTTGTTGCCTTGCTATATATGCAGTAGTGGAAAACGATTCAGTCACTTAGCTTTGATTACAAGCAATAAGTGGTGACGTCTCAAATGCACGACAATAAAAATCCTCCTAATATGGTCGCTGAGCACCTACAGCCGTTGACTTAAAGTATTTTTCGCTCGAAAATAGCATACCCGAAGAATTCTTTTCTTTTACTGTTACAGAGGCAGATACATTTAAAAAAGAAAAAAGCTAGAGTGATACACGTAATTTTATCTTGATAAGTATTAGCCAGATGAATAATAATATACTAAAAACGGTAACAAACCATAATACAACTTTTTTTAAACAAACGCGAATACCAAGATGATTCTTAAGTGGTTAGCAATATATATACAAGGTGATTTTCACACTACGTTTGAGTAGCAGTTTAATGTTATCAACTACTATGGTCCAGTTGCAATCACTGAAACCTAGACAACTTGGAAAAGACGCCCGTGTTTGAAGCCAAGAGATTCAGGTTAATCCTCTGAAAGAGTACCAACTTTAAACCCTCTCCTAAGAACAACTAACAAAAATGTAGTTACGTAAGTCTAAATCGTGATTGTAAATAACAGAATCACAGTGACAAAGTCAAGAAGTATTAGTGGGGTTTTTACCAAGCTACTAAGCGTTATAATATCTATATTATGCAAATGTCTTCGGATTTTCGAATGGTTTCTATGTATTATACGTCAAATGTTCATTTAACTCACCTCAATTAGCCACTTCTAAGGCCTTGTGAGGAATGTGCTGAGCAGAAATAAGCTCTTCGTTTACTAGGTACTTGAGCTACACTGTATCTAGCAGCCTAACTATTTCATATATTCAAGCATTTTGTTTGTAGATAAACTGATTGATTGAACACCTGAGTAATTGCCTACAGAAACTTAACAATACCTTTGCTGACCAAAAAATCTTAAACATACATATGTATAAAACAAAACAACTATTTGGCTCAGGTCTAATACACTACATAATAAGTTTTCATTTACAGCCAAATAAACTAACCTGACGGCAAAAAGAACACCCGCAAGCAGAAAGAAATAACATGTTTTCATATGGCACTGCATCAAAGCAAATATTACAGTGTCCATACTCAGTCCCTATCATTCTGAGGACTAACCTTGACCGACCGCCATCAGATGAAATCGCGCAAGTTTGGCGGCTATGTGACCTTAGTTCAAACGGTTCAAATGGTTCTGGATGGAATAGAAGCTTTCACTTAACGGGCTTCCGCATCTAGAAGCAGTGGGTCATCGATGCCTCCAAGTAGGAACCTAGGCATATGAACGATAAAAGAGGAAAAGGAAAAAAGTTGATAAATCATAGTAAGATACTGCCCTTAGTCCTTAAGGATATGTCGCTTTTTCTCATAATGGACTCTTAGAAAGTCGCTTGAGCTAACTCATCTGGTAGCGACTTCCGGCATTTGACTACCCTTAAGGAGTAGGAGGTATGCCTACAGTCCGTTCTGCCATATTGTGTCTCAAGTTTCTAGGTATTACCCCTAAGCTTTGTATTGAGACTAAGTTTGAGAAGTTGTTTAAATCGATGTTCAGAAGTGTTAAAGATGCTACACGTCATAAGAGGATCACCTTTAAGACGCTAGTACTCTAATGGGTAAAGGTTTAGTGATTGGATGCGCTCTTCATAAGACTTGAATTTGAGTACCCGTACTGATTTTGTGGGTGGCCTTTGGGTACATTCTGGTGTGTCCTTATCGTTTAGGAGTAAGTACACACTAAATTTCCATACCCTACATGAGATATGATGAAACAGTTGAAGACTAAGTGGAAATTTTTCCTGTCGAACTGGTCAAAAGTGAAATTCGACGTTACTAATGCAGGGTTTGCTCGGAAGACATTTTGTTGCAAATAGCGTGAGACTTCAAACCAAAGGGTACCAATACTCCTCGATCTTTTCAACTTGGAATACTTCCAGAGAGGATTTTCTTGATTTGTATCTGGAATAGGCTGCCTTACACTTTGAAGTGCTAATGGTAAGTCCGATGTTGTCTGCCCAAATTCGAAGTCGTGTCAGATCATTCTGAAGTGCCAGTTTATTCTCTTTGTTGCAGACTTATCTCCAGAGTTCCACACCGTCAGCAAAAAGAAACAAATCAGGCGATACCTGCTGTAAAGGATCGTTTACGTATATTAAGAACCCTGGTGAATCCCAACAGGTCATTCTATGGTCTGAGAGTATGTGAAATTAACCCTACCTTGAAATGTCGGTTTTTTAGATATAAAGTGAAGTGATCAATCAGTGGTGCTTGGACGCTTGATCGTTTGAGCTAGTTGATAAGATATATATGGTTGACCCAATCAAAAACTTGAGAATTCATAGTGTATTACGTCAGCCTTCTCCTTGAGAGTTAAGGATAATTATCCATCCGCCCACCGCTGTCAGCAGGTTGATTGTGCAAGAACAATCTTTTCTGAAGGCATGTTGCTGGAGTGAAAAGAGGTTTGTGGATAGTAAGTAGTCGCGTTGAATTTCCAATATCAGGGACTCCACAATTTTTAAGGGTATAGAGAGGAGTGCTAACAGTCGGTAGGCTTGAGGTTCACTGAATCGACCCTACTTGAAAATTGGTGTAATGTGGGCCAGCTTCCAAATTTCTGATAATATGCCTAAGCTGAGCTGTTTCGCCAAAGCTGAAGCTGCTTCCCTCAGTATAGCAGAGTCGTCCAGGAGAAATGTACTTGTTTTGGCGCTGAAGTTTCCGATGCACCAAGTCAGCGCCCAGGTTCACTTTTGAGAGTCCTATTGAGTTGCAGATGAAGCTCTCAGTATAGATACCGCTGGTTAATTGAAATTTCCGAGAGTAATGTTCTGCCAGAAGGTCGGCGGCGTCACCGTTGTTGTTGATTGGGCCATTAGTAAGTAGGATCGCAGGTACGTGGTTACTCCACCCCCATTCCTCTTTTTCTGTCGTTTTGAAACAAAGACATCTCGGATAATGCTAGCTCCTGGTTCGTTATTTGAGATATCCCTGTTCCAGATATTCCTATCAGATTATATTATCAGCACTACTGAGTTCACGCAGCTTATCCATTTTGTTTGGTAAAATCACGGCGTCTACATACAAGCAGTTTATCTTTCCAGTTTAAAATCCGCGAGCTTCTCCGTCCTGCTTATCTGTATTAGGCGAACGATAACCAAATATCAATATGTACGAGTCATATATACATAGTAAAAATAAAACGAGTCTAAGAATTTAATTTAAGTGTAACACAAGCTATTGTCTTAATTACAAAGTTCAGAATCTAAGGAATAATATTTATTTTAAGGGGGAAAAGAGAGAGGAAAGTAATAAATACCTAGTGAAAGTGTTTAACCATGATAATAAGAGTGTAATGAATATCGGCCTCCGAAGTAAACAACTAATTTCGTTAGTTTTTAGTGCACTGGGGTGAATATATCTAAAGTTATGCAATCGGATTCAGAGTTAAAGTTGATATTAGTATAGACATTTGTGCAATGATAACTTAGAATGATGCTACGAAAGTCACAATTAATCGCAATGGATAATCAAATATAAATTTCTATGTGTTATATATATGGTGAAGATAAAATGAATTTGAGGAGTTAATTTATTTAAGTGTAACGTCAAGTGACTTTAATTGGTTATGCGTAAAAGAATTGCGTGATAAGTTTTCAGATATCTGTGAGGATAAATTGAGACTATGTGTAAAAGTAAGGGCTCGTAAGTATGCTCAGCAGGAAGCGAAACCTGTGTTCCTTCCAAGAAGACCGGTACCTTATTCGATTACTGATGACTCGAATGCAGAACATGACAGACTACAGAACTCTGGTGTTATTTCTCCTATAAATTATTCTTCATGGGTAATATCATTAGCGGTTGTAAGAAAATCTGATGGTGAAATACGTGTATGTTGAGACTTCTCCACTGGGTTAAACAAAGCACTACAGGACCATTTATACCCTTTACCTATCTTAGAAGAATTGTTTACTAAATTAAATGGGTGCTCCATATTTTCGGAGACTTTTTCAGATTCATGTCTCCAAGTGGAAGTCGAAGAAGACTGTAGATACTGACAGTGAAGACACACCGGGGATTGTTCCAACACAATAGACAGTTTTTTGGTATAAAATGTGCCCCGGTAGTTTTTCAACAAGTTATGAACACTATGTTAAACGATATCCCGTTTGCCAAGGCATATGTGGATGATGTTATTATTGCCAGTAGAAGTGAAAAAGAACACTATGATCATTGTAAATATGCCAGCTTTATCTAATGATAAAATGCTTCAGTCATGTTTGGTAATGATTAGCTGTTATAGCCATTTCGCGCCAAATATGCTTGCCATGCGTGCTCCATTGAATGCACTGTTAACCAAGAACACCAGATAAAACCGGAATAAGGAATGTCAAGTGTCCTTTGAAAAAGCGAAACAGATCTTGACTCTTGAATTTTTGCTTACTCATTGTGACTCAAAACTTGAGTTAGTGGTAGCGGCCGACACATCTGATTATGTCATTGGAGCGGTGATTCTTCATAAATTTCCTAATGGGTCACAAAACGCTATTTTTCATGATTCACACACCCTTACTGCGGCTGAAAAGAATCACAGTCAAATCGATAAGGAGGTTTTAGCCCTAGTGTTTGAGGTCAGGAAGTTTCACAATATGCTATACGGTAAAAAGAATTACATGGCAAACTGACCATAGACCATTGCTGGCCATATCTGGCTCTAGAGAAGGAATGCCCATCCACACTGCAAATCGCCTGACCAGGTGGGCTACTATTTTGCTACGGTATGTATTCGAATTACTGTACGAGCCGTCAGCTCGTATGGGTCATGCAGATGGGTTGTCAAGGTTAATTACTAGTAACCTCAAGTTAGAGGAAGATAGCGTGGTTGCTTCTGTATCACTTGAACCGGAAATATAAAGTGTTCTATGGTGCTATCAGAATCCTACCAGTAACGGAGGAAGCGGTTGAAGAAGCAACGCTTGTGATCTTCTACTCAAAAGAATAAACGGAGCTGTTTTAAAGGGTTGGAAAGATGATAAGGCTGATCGACAGCTTCAACATTTTTTTTCAAAGACGTGAGTCCATATCGATTTATGATAACTGTTTGATGCATGGCAATCGTGTTGTTATCCCTAAATCTCTTCAGTTTTTTGCGCTTAGACGGTTTCACATTGGTCATCCGGGAATGAACAGAATGAAAGCAGTTATGCGTAGTTATGTCTATTGGCCACTCATGGACAATGCAGTGGAAGAACACATATTGAGATGTCGTCGATGTGCCTAAGGTGCAAAAGATCCACCGAAAGTAGAATACTAGCCATGGTCATAAACGAAAAAGCCTTGGGTCTGACTACACGTCGATTATGCTGGATCAATAAATGGACAGTATTTTTGGTGTTGGTAGATTCAAAACGGCCTGAAATTTACGTTGTGCAAAGACTGTCTACGTCTGAAACACTGATGCATATCAGACAACTATTTGGTAGGTTTGGGACACCTTATGTTTTGGTTTCAGATAACGGGACGCAGTTCACGTCGCCAGAGTTTGAGGAGTTCTATTAAAAAAATAGAATCGAACATATTATAACCCGACCGTATCACCCTCAGTCGAAAAGGCAAGCAGAAAAATTTGTTGATATTCCTCAGTGAGCTCTCTTAAAGATGGGAGGAGAAGATAATGTAGAAGAGGCTCTGCAACACTTTCTAATTTCTCATAGAATTACACCGCGTCCAAACTATCAAGACGGGAAATCACCAGCCGAATAATGTTTGGTCGACCAAATAGGACATTTTTTATGTTTTGGACCCGAAAAACGGAATGAGTGAACAACAAAAAAATAAGAAAGGGAATCGCCAGAAGGTTCCAGAATTTAAAGCAGATGACCCAATCTGTGAGCGTGATTTCCGGCCTGGCCAGCCAAAATGAATATTTGGATGTGTAGAGTGGCGTCGAGTTGCGGTTGACTATAATCACCACTATAGGAAGACTACATGTAAGTTAACGGATAAGATACCCCGTAGGCCAAATATCAGAAGGCGGTTAATGGCTGTAGTCGAGACAAACACCGTAAACGTTCCCATTCGAGTCTGCACGAAACGATGTGGGAGACCCGAATATCTATTCATTATGTGAAGCAACCAAATTTCATTGAGTGAACTACTACAAATACCTCTAATTTTTGCAACACATGCT